TTTTGAGTTGAATGTTGAATAAAACAAAGAATTCTGAATTAGAGATAAAGAAGGAATGCCTTTCAGAAATGGGAGAAACAGCAAGTCTAAAGGCATGGAAATGGAAATGAAATGACAAGCAGGAGGTCAGTCAGGCTGAACCACAAAATACCAGGAAGGGAATCATATAACAAGGTTGGAAAAGGAGATGAGGACCAAATTATGACAGCATTTAAAGACCAAACTAAGTTTAGATTGAGGAGAGGAATGACATTGTCAAGTCTGCATTCTAGGAAAATCATTTACCAGCTGGGTGATGCATTGAAATTGAGAAAGATGAGAAAGACAAATTAGGAGATTAAATCAATCTCTACATATATAAAGGGGTGTGTGTGTGTGTGTGTGTGTGTGTGTGTGTGTGTAGTGTGTGTGTGTGAGAGAGACAGAGAGAGAGAAAGAGAGAGATAAAGAGAGAGAGAGAGATAAAGAGAGAGAGAGAGATTTCTTGGACCAATCTTTTGAGAATGCTGAAGATTTTCTTATATTATAGCTATGTATACAATTCTTCCCCTCTGCTAAAATAGGAACTTCATCTTTTTTATCTTTTTTTTTTCTGGTGAGGCAATTGGGGTTAAGTGACTTGCCCATGGTCACACAGCTAGTAAATGTCAAGTGTCTAAGACCAGATTTGAACTCAGGTGCTTCTGACTCCAGGGCAAGAGCTCTACTCGCTGAGCCGCTAAGCTGCCCTTATCTTTCTTTATCTATTCCCATTTCCTGGCAGCCAACCTTGTGCCTTGAATTAAATTTGTTTAATTTCCAAATTAATATCCCTTTTTACCCAGATGAAAAGTTCAGAACTCTAAAAAAGTCATTCTAGTTCTCTGGCCTAGAATATTCCACAGTTATTTGTCTCTTCATATCCTGCGTAATAAAACAGATAATGTTTTCAAAAGGCAGTTAAAACAACCAGCTTTTTTAGCCACAATGACACATAGATGATGGTGATTACCATCAGTAGCATCTTCTTTGAATACCAACTTCAGCCTATGCTAATGAACTGTGCTGAGTTTTAACAAAAACAAATCACATGAACACACACACACACACACAGACACACACACACACAATCATATAATTCTTGCCCTCTGGGATGCTGACAGAACAATAAAAGGTTGCACAGCACCCCCCTCACCAAACAACAAGCAGAAAGATAAGATCACCAAAATAATACTTGTGAAGATATATCAGGATTTTCATTATCAAGAACTCTCGACTAAACACTTAGCATGATGGAAATTTAAAAAAAATATATATATATGTGTGTGTGTGTGTGTGTGTGTGTGTATAATATAAGTATACATGTGTATGTATATGTATGTGTGTATATGTTTGTGTATGTGAAAGATCCTATTCCCAGTTCTAAAAATTCTATATGGTATTAGCAATTATGGTTTTGCACTGAAGAATGTATGATTTAATCATCAGACTTTGGTGGAAGAAGGAAAAGGGAGAGACAGATCAAAATTGGAAGGTACCTTAGGAGGCCACCTGGTCCAGCTGCCTCTTCTATAGATGAGGAAACAGAGACACAAATTAATTCATCCAAAGTCACACATACAGGTGTACATAGAGGATGGGCTGGTCTAGGATCACACAGAGAATAAGTGGCACATATGGGATTTCAACTCCTATCCTCTGATCTCAAACCCAGCCCACTTTCCACTATGTCAAACGTCCCCCCTCAGAGATGAGATCCTCATTTCACTTCAGGCCAGGATCCTAACTTGTCTAAAAGCAACCCTCGAAGAGCACACCTCCTTTAGGCCTGAATAAGTCAAGAACTGACTATTCTTCACATCTGTGGGTTACAAATCACAATCAGACCTTTTGCTCTCGAAACTGTTCCCAAAGAGGTTTTGCAGCTGTTTGCAGTCAGCTAATGGATAAGTCTAAAAGATAAGTGATGAAGTTACAACGTGGAGTAACAGAATGAGAATCAGAAACCAACATTTTACCCTCTATTCTTCAGGGGGCAATTTTTTTTAAGGCAGATAATAAAAATCATTCCAGGGAAAGCAGGTGGGACATTATCATCACAAACCCTTTCCTCCTGAGGAAAGAGCTACAACAACAGAAGAAAAAGCTTAATAGAACAGATGGTTTGATACAGGCTATTGGGAACTTGTGTACACAGTTAGAAAGGATGGTCTTTAGTGTTCCCTAAATGCAGTTTCTGATAGGAGAAGCAAATTCCAAGTAACTAAAGGACACTTGTGAAAATGTCATTTGGTAAATAGTGACAACACTTGATTTGTGCAAAAGAAGAAGCCTAGAGGTCATTTCTTAACATATGCTAGATAGGTCTTGGTTTTACTGATAAATAAACTGATCACATCTGGAGAAAGCTATGATGCGGCAGTAAGAACCTTTAGAGCACAGTTCCTAATGGAACACAGAAGGATGCTTATCTCCCCAGATCACCATCAAAATGGAATGTCCCCAGAAGACTTGCTTCACTTTGAAGCGGCAAGATCAAGGAACACATGGTACAGGCAAGATCTTACAGACTGCTTGATCACTTCTAACTGAAAAAGAGATGCTTTCAAGGCAATTACTTATGGAAATGGCACAGTCTTAAAAGCAGGGAAGGAACACTTTGGTCTACCAAGAGTCCCAGAAAAACAATCACATGCCACGTGAAAACACAAAGCATTTAATTTGGGATTTTGATTTTTTTTTTTGTTTAAGAGATATATAAAATGTTCAACACGGTGGGTGGTAGAGTGTTTAGAGCACTGCGCTGGAAGTCAGAAGGAGCAGAGTTCAATTATTGCCTCAAACACTTCCCACATGTGTGACCACAGACAAGGCATTTAACCTCTCTCACCCTCAGTTTCCCCATTCGTAAAATGAGTGGAGTTGACCTTGATGGCCTCAAAGGTCCCTTCTAGTTCTAAATATATGATCCTATTACCCTCCTTATTTTGAAATTAAGAACACAAATATAAAATTTTAATATAATAAATGAAGTACACAAGCCAAGAAGACCAAGGTTAAGGTCTTGCCTCTGACACATACAGACCATGTGATTCTGAGCAGGTCATTTAACCTCCTAGTAGTCTAGGCAATTCTTTAAAACTATTAGTTGCACAGAAGTTGCCAATCTTCACTAGTAGAGGGAATTCCCAGCCCTTCTCTTTATGTAAGAGCCATTTCCCAACAGATAAGTAGGCAAAGGATATAAACAATTTTCAAAACATTTCTTGTTCAGTCATGTCTGACACTTTATGACCCAATTTGGGATTTTTTTTTAGCAAAGAAACTGGAGTGGTTTATCATTTTCTTCTCCAGTTCATTTGAAAGATGAGGAACTAAGGCAAACAGGGAGAAGTGACTTGACCAGGGTCACACAACTAATAAGTATCTGAGGCCATATTTGAGCTCAGGAAGATGAGTCTTCCTGATTTCATGCCCTGTACTCCATATACTCCACCACCTAGCAAAATATGAATTATCATATGAAAATGTGCTTCAAATCACTAATAATAAGAGAAACATACATTAAAAGTCCTCTGAGGTTTCATCTTATACTCCGCAATATAGAAAGATGACAAAAATGTAAAAAAGTTTTTAAAAAGCTTAAAAGGGCTGTAGGAAGATAAGCATACTAATATACTTGGTAGATTTTTTAACTGATCCTATAATGCTGGAAAATAACAATTATTAGAGAAAAGTCATCAAATTATTCATACCCTTTGTCTCAAGGAAGTCAAACAGAACAAAGAGTTCAGCATATCATATCAGCCTTTTTTTGCTCGCAAAAACACTAAAAGCAAAGTGGGAGAAAGAATGTGACCAATAAGATGGAGGACTAGACATTTTCTCCGATCCTCATGACCTTTTGAACATCTCTGAGACAGGAATTACTCACAAAGAGATAAAGCAATTTCACCTGTTTCTACAGACACTAATAACCCTAACATGGGAACAACATGCTGAACTAACAACAGAGAAGGCTAATCTCTAATTCCTGATGCTCTCACTCAAACCACTGGGCACCACCACTTTGTCAGAATGGCATAAACCCACCCAATAGCAACAGAACTCAACTCTGCACCCTTTCTGCTGTACCATGAAAAGCCAAAAGTCAGAAGTCTGCTGTGCTATCCCAGTATGGCAACACGGCTACTTGTCCTGCAAAAACTAGAGAACTGAGAAACAGAGAGAAGGGGGACAGTGCACCAGAGTGCATTGCGAGGCTTTGCAAAGCTGGAAACAAAAGAGGCTGGCAGCCATCTGAAACTAGTTCCGCCCCCTTGAAATCACTTGGGTCAGAGTTTGAGACTGATCAAAAGTGAATTCCCCAGTGTGGGAAGAGGCTGGGATAGCTTTGAGGTCAAGCCCCAAGAGAATCCACAATCAAAGAGGAAGGAGTCAGAAATTGTGCAATAGGGGAATGTAAAGAAAAACAGATGGAACCTTATCCAAGATTTCAGAAGGAAGAAAACTCAGTTAAAGATTTTGACTACAAGCAATTAAGCCAACAGGGGAAATGTTAATCACAGGAGGGAAAACAGCCTCCAGATCATCCAAATATTTACAAATAAATATTGCAAGACAAATAAAAATGAATTAGCACTTAAGGAAGTAGAGTACCCAGTGGATTCCCAAGAGAACATGGAAGCTCAGCAGGCTGAATGGTTTCAAGAGGACTTAAAAAACTACTGTTGCTTCACTGACTGATATGAATGTACTGCATGCTGTGCAGTAAAAATGACAAATAATAAGAATTCAGTAAGACATTTGTAGCGTGGGCGTTCAGCCAGTCTATCCAAAAGCCAGGCTACTATATATCCCCCACCCCAATGGTTTTGGAGTACCTGGAGGATGCTTTTCTTGAGCACCTACTGTGTTCACACACACACACACACACACACAACACACACACACACACACACACCCCCAATATGAGTTTTTGTCTTGACTATTTCTGGGCTAATATTCCAAAGGTCACTCACTGCAATCCAGACTCTGCAATGCTGAAATACTGGAGCACATCTGTTGATCTTTTGAATTCCCAAGGTCAGAGACTCCAATCTTCTCTACCTAAAAGAGGAAAGGACAAATGCAGCAGAAAGACCAAGTCCCACTTATGGGGCAATAAAGCTTCAGAAGAAAGAAGGTCCTGAGGCATCTCCCCTTACAGATTCATCCCTCACCAGTCACATTTTTAAATGCATAAAAGAAGCCAATTATATTAAAACAGTTATCAAAATATTTTGAACAAGCAAATTTACAGACCTAAACTGTGAAGAACTTCTGATGTAGACAAAATGTAATTCTATGTCATAGCAGTAGTTCAGATATTTATAGAAAATATTTGACATCACATCTCTCCTGATAACCATCACCATTTACTTCAGGTTTTTTCATAATACAGGCCCCAGGGATAGGGGATGTTAATAATAATAGCTAACAGCTACACTTACTTTTAATGTGCCAGGCACTGTACTAAGTGGTTTATCATTATTATCTCATTTTATCTGGGTAACCACCCTGGGAAATAAGAGCTATTATTGTTCCCATTTTGCAGATGAGGAAACTGAGGCAGAGAGCAGTTCAGTGACTTGTTCAGGGTCACAGAGCTAGTAAGTATCTGAAGCCAGATTTAAACTCAGCTCTTCCTGACTTTAGGCTTGGTGATTTTTCCATTTCAATGTCTAGACTTGGGTTGAAGGGAACAGTGAGAGCCAACCGAGGGCAATTTAGAGCAAGGGCAGGGTTTATTGATTTTTCATTTCTATAAATTACATGTGGCCACAGTTTAAAACTTCACAGGTAAATATGTGGTTTATGTTTAAGAGGCTAATTGTAACTACTAGGAAGAAATATCTATACCACTAGTTTTAACAAAAAGGAAAACTAACAAAACATTTGTCACAGGTCTTTAGAATAAAAGTAGCACATGAACACTCTGAGTAATTCCCATTTTAAAATACAATACACTAAGTTCTGTGGCAAATTTCCAGAAGATCTCCAACCATCTTCCATTTTTATGGTAAGCCAAATTCTGTAGTCATAAAGAAATGTGCTTTTTTTTGGGGGGGGAGGGGGAGATGGAAGAGGGACTACAATTAGCACATTGAGGGGGAAAGTATTCAAATATTCAACATCACTATTTTTTAATGTATTTTTTTTTAACCATTAAATACTTTAGCAACAGGCATGAACTACACCCTCACAATATCCCTGTGAGAGAGATAGCTTTGGAACAAGAAAGAGAAAAAGACAGAGAATGAGAAAAGAAAAAAAAACCTATATAATCTATTCATTATAAAGAAAAATATCTAACAGAGTAAAGGGACATATTTAGTTGTTGAATCTAGCTTAATTATGTCTTTATGTTAAAAGCAATTGGCAATTTGTCCTCTAAGCAACTTTCCTCTTAAGAATATGTTTAATTTATAAGAAAATGTAATGCATTTAACTGACAGCTGTAATATTCAGCCTATAACCACTAGTGGGTTGAAAAAAGGATTTTTTTAAATTGAAAATGTGTTTCTTTTAACTAGAAAGTCTTAGAAAGATATAGACAATGCAATTCTACTGGTCTTTCATTCACAAATAGCATGAAGCAAATCCCTGGATAATTATCATAGGTCTTGAAGTTTTACTTCAATATTTCTCATTTAAATCAGATGTGGGGTTGCCTCTGGGAGGCATGGGCAAATTGAATAATGATGGGAATAGGGAGGAATTCTCGTTCCATTTTGTAACATACTGTGCAGTGACATTACAAACTCACTGTCACACCAAGGAATCCTGGCTACAAAAGGTAAGGAATTAAGAGGTTCTAAAATGTGTGAAAGCCTCACAGAAAAGCTCACTGAGGGATTGGCTGGGGAGTATTGAGATGCAAGGGGAAAGAAGCCTTGCTAATAAGAGTCTACCATGAAACACAGGTGCTACTGAAAGGAAAGCCCCCACTTTTTTGGGTATATACTTTTTTAGAAAAGAGTCCCTTATCCGCTTGGTGATGACATGGTGGAAGAAAACCAGAGGATCCTTTGTCTCTCTAGCCCAAGACTGTCCCTTCTTTGCCAACATCACCATAGCTATTGAGTTTCAAAATATGTTCAGATTCCTCACTGATGAATGGATGTTTTTTTTTTCAGAAGAAGAAGAAAAGAAAGGAAGGAAGAAAGGAAGAACATAGTAATATATTTACAACAATGAAGTCCCTGCCACCAACCACTCCCCCAACACACACACATACACATATACTTCTCTCCATGCCCTGCCCTTTCTCTTAAATAGAATATTCAAGGAGAATCCCTGACATGGTTTATAATAGCTTGCCAAAGGAGATGTTTCTATTTTAAAAGCAAAGGAAGAGCCTGCTGGTATCTATGACATGTCTTGTGATAAGTCACTGTTTAGAAGGTGCATGTATTGCTCCTGCCGCCTCCACGGGAATCTGGAAAACAACAGTGGAAGAAAAACCCTCTCTTGACGTCGATGCTATCTCCTCAAAATGTGCTGTGCAAGAAGGGAGGAGTTGGCCAACATCCTGGAAGAGAAACAAAATGAAAACTCTGGGCCTGGGAGCTCCAGTTGATTGACATCATGAGTTTCTCACAAAATGTGGAACACATAGGAACCCTACAGAATAAATGTTTAAAAATATGATGATGGAGCTTCAAATTGGCTGTATTTTTTTTTAATCCAAGAGACCGGGGAGTTCAAGATGCTTCTATATTATACTTCTTCTTTATTTTGTAATGTGATATTTGTACAAACTGTATCCCCAAAGACTTTGCTAAAAATAATACAACTATAGAGATAAATAATGAGTAATAGTAGAAAGGGAGCTGTAGTCAAGGGAGAAAAATATTTGCAGCTGAAGTTTGAATGAGGAGAAGCAGTGAGGTGAAGAGATCAGAAAATAGCTGCTGCAGATGGCAAAAGCTATCATGGGGAAGCTTGTCTGCCATCCAATCTTATGCAGATAGAGCCAATGGAAAAAGGTGTTAAAGGCAGTGGCAGAGATGGAGTCAATACTCTGGTAGAGTTTTAAACCAAGATGAGCATTTATGAACTGATGGCTAAAATAAGTGGAAATCCATTGGAATCGTATAAGGTCAAAGCTAATGTGGCCATACGTTATTCTTTGTTAATGAGGAAAAGGAAACAAGTTGGTGTTTAAGAGACCTGAATGGATTCTTTCTTGTTACATGTGGTCAGCGATATAAAGAGTATAAGCCTAGGATCAGAAATATTCAAGTAACACTGATTCATGAAATAAACTATTTGAAATCTGGTTGGGTTCTTCTTGAAAGATATGGTTAGGTTTTTACCATAATCACTTCTACTGTACAAGAAAAAAACTGTAAAACTAGCATTGGCCACACAAGAAGCATCTTGCTATTGGGTGAGATACTGTCCCCCAACCATCCAGTACACAAGACCTTCCCCATCTATGGTATGGCTTTTAGATTCACATGTAGTAGGGCAATTAAGCCAATTTTGTCAGAAGGTATAAATGTAGAGTATTAAGTTCTACAAGGGCAAGAACTATCTCCTTTTGTATTTACATCTCCAATACTTGGCATGTAGTAAGCGGTTAATAAATGATCTTTGTCCAGATCATGCCCACTAACAACAGACTCTGTCCTGGTCCCTCTACTCTTTTCCTTTGTGATCCCATTAACTTACATGGATTTCATTATCATCTATATGCTAATCATTGTCAGATGCCACTTCTTTCCTGACTCCCAGTCTTGCATCTCCAGCTGCCTATTGAATATCTCAAATTAGAGTTCCCTTGGACAATTTTAACTCAACATTTCCAAAAGTAAACTTGTTATCTTTTCTTCTCTTCTTAGAGGCAGCTAGTATGAGAGTAGACAGAGTGCTGGGTCAGGAGCACCTGATTTCAAAATTGGTCTCAGATACTTACTAGTTATATGATCTTGGACAAGTCAGTTTCTGTTTACCTCGGTAAAATGGGGATAATAATAGAACCTATCTCCCTGAGTTGTCGTGAGGCTCAAAGGAGATAATATTGCAAGGTGCTTAGCATAGGGCGTAACACATAGTTGGTTCTATATAAATGCTAGTTATTATTATTACATATTATTATAATATTATATATAAATGCTAGTTTATTATTATTTATTGTTAATAATATATCATAACATCTTTTCCTTGTTCAAGATTCCCATAAATGTTACCTCAAATTATTGAAGGGCAGAGAGTCATGTTGGAGGGTATGGGGGATTATGACAGTTTGGACATCTGTCTCTTAAAGCTATAAATGTCTTGGATACTGATTAATGTTAAATCCAATAGTGTTGCTTCTGGCAGACTCAAGCCTGAATTGCAGAGTACCTTATTAGTACAAAATATTTCCCAACAAGGGGCATAATGTGGATGATGAGCTGGAAAAGGAGACTTTTTTTTTCCTTAAATATTTGAAAAGCTTTCATCTGGAAGAGGGCTTAGATATTCTGTGCAAGTTCGGAAGGACAGAACCAGGATATGTTCCAATGGGCAGAAGTTACAGGGAGGCAGATTTCAACTCAATATAAGGAAGAACTTTCTCACTATTAGAATAACCCAAAAATGAAACGGGCTACCCTGTGAAATTGTGAATTTGTCATCACTGGGCATTTCTGTAATAAGGTAGGATACCCATCGCTCAAGTATCTTGTAGAAGGGACCCCTGCATGGTTCAGGAATTTGTACCAGATGACTTCTAAGATCTTTTTCCACTCCATGAATCTCTCATTTTAATGTAGCAACATACACAGTTCCAATCATAATCAAGATCCTATATGTGCAAAACAAATGGTAAGAATTAAAATGTTATATAGCCTTGAAGCAAAGCAAAAGCAACTGTCCAATAACACTAAAAAACGAGTGACCTACATCATGGTCTTACCCATCGGCACCCACCAGGGCTTAGTCAAATGAGACACCAACTTCTAATACTAAACAAAACAGAACAAAAACAAGCCAAATGATGATGAAGCAAGTCCTATGATGCTTTATCACCTTGCCTAATTAACCACCTCCTCCAGATGAAGACGTAAGAATCTGCTTTAGATCTGCAACTGAGTCAAATTGCAAAGAATCACTGAGAGGTGGGCTCACTGACCTCTTATAGTCATTACATATGATCTGGTCACATAATGTCTCCATTACAAGGAAGGATAAGAGTAAAGACAAAGTGAGGTCCTAGACAAATAGGATGAACTCTCACAGTCAAATAGAAGCCTATTCAGAAATCTATTCAGTCACCAAGGTTCCATGACTGCTAAAAAGACACAGCTCAGTAAGAGTCTATGAAAAAATTTGTAGGTTTCTGCATGTGGAAGCTAAGACAGAGAATTTGTTTCAAGGGTACTTTCCTCATAGCCAGCAAATTTATCTTTCCAAAACTTTTCCAAGTTTTATCTATCCATTTATCACTGTGTGTGAATTTATTTTTCTTCTAAATGTGTGGATGGAGCCTTCCTAAGATGTTTTATATATCCTTAAACCTCTCAGTAATGTAGTACTGGTTCTCACCACTTTATTAAAATTACATTCTTGAAGGTCACCAATTTCCAAATTCAAATACCTGTTCTTAGATCATTCCTCTTGATCTCTCTGTTATTAAAAGCAATATTCTATTTAAAATTAAGTACCTTGCTTGGAGGGAATGGGAGGGAAGGAAAGGAAGAGAAAGAAAAAGAAGCTGAGGGAAGGGGAAGGAGAGGGGAAATGGAAAATTATAAATATAAAATAGATAAAATTATACAAAGACAGTTATAAAAATCTGTAAAACTATAAAATTTGTAAGAGTCCTACACATTTGAGATTAGTAGACCTTTATCAGGAAAAACATGTGGATTCCTCCAGTGTTCTTGTTCGACTCTTGTCTCAACTGTACTTCTCTATGCCCTTTTTTGCTTCTTTCTTTTCCTTCTACTCCTTACTCTATTCTTTACATTTTTATTAGGCCTCACCCTTTGCAGTCCTTTCTTTTCTCCACCCAATGTCTTTAGAAGAATCATCCATTCTCATAATTTCAGCTATCAACTCTTTATAGATATTATATTTCCAACTTTAACTTCTCCATGCATCTCCACTTGGAACCTGACATCTTATCTCAACTCCTGGTTTCTTGTCCTATTCTCTTCCACTGACTGTGATCATGAGCAAGTCTTTGACTCTCCTGATTAGATGATTCTGAGAGTCCCTCATGAATTTAACATTTTTGGATGGTTCTTCTAAAAGCAAATAAACTATATTTCCCATCATAGCAGCTCACTCTATTGACTTCCTTATTATTGTCAGGGGTGCTATTATTATCCCCAGACTTTGAGGTACAAAAACATTATTGATTCTTCTTTATTCCTCATACCCCATATTCAGTTGGTCAGCAAATCTTGTCAATTTTTTCTTTCTAAAGAAGACAGGTAAGGCAGCTAGGTAGTGCAGTGGATAGAGCACCAGCCCTGGACTGAGGAGGACCTGAGTTCAAATCTGGCCTCAGACACATAACACTTACTAGCTGTATGACCCTGGGCAAGTCACTTAACCCCACTGCCTAACCAAAAAAAAAAAAAAACTAAAGAAGACAGGTAATATGATGTATAGGTAGCTGGCCTTGAAATCAGAAAAACCTATTTTCAACACTGACTCTGACACATCTGACTATGTGAATCTGGGCAAGTCACTTACTTTTTCAATATTCTAGACAATTTGTTAAGACTGTAAGTTGTAGAGCAGATGTTGATCTGCATTGTTGGATAAGAAGGGTAGTCCATTATATGCCAGGAATTGCACTAAATACTTTACAAATAATATCTCATTACTAGAGTGGATTTCTGTCTCAGAAGTTTCCTACACCAATGAAATCACAGATTTGGCTTAGGAAAAAAAAGCCCCTACCTTTCCCTTTCCATGCCCACTGTCATCATACTAATTAGTGCAAAGAACATAAGGGACAATCAGTTATAAAGTCCAGAATTTAGTTTTTTTTTTAATGTCATGATACAGAACCCATAGGAACCCAACAATTACATATGCTTAAAAGTCCATTTGATACCCCTCCTACCAAGGTGGCCAATTTTAAAACACATAGATTTGTAATAGTAGCTTTATTCCCACTACTTTTTTTTAAATACCTTTAATATTTATTTATTAGTTGAAGCTAAGTATTTTTATTGAGTTTGACCAAGTGAAGTCATGAGATCTTTTGCAGCCATTAGCCATCTCTTACCAAGTCCACCTCCTCCTGTTTCCTTCAGTATCCTTCCTTGGCATCCTCATACTTCTCCAGATCAGCTGCTGTTTTTGCTAGGAACAGAACTCTTCCAATTCTCCCCCTTCCAGAGCAACCAAGAGGCAGGAGCTCTCTTTTCCTCTTACTACACAAAGATATGCTTCCTTCAGTGTTAGCTATTTGGGGAAAAAAACCTGGCTGGTGATTAGATTTTTACATAATTTCTGGAATCCAGGAAGAGAAGCTGAATTATGCAATGCTGATTCAATTATATGAAGATTTAATATTTCATGTCATTATTACTGTTAATATTCTGGAAATAGGAAAGCCCAAGTACATCAACTAGATTAGAGCTACTACCCAAGGTATTTGCCACAGTGCTTCTCTACATTAAGAAGGCAATGAACCTTAGGGAAATCATCTGGAAAGTTAAAGTCAAATGTCTCCAACATAATAATAATTAATTGTGTATGTGGTGCTTAAGGTCTGCAGGGCCTTTTGGGCACACTATCTCCTTTGGGCTTCATAACAATCCCACTACAAGCATTCCCATTTTACAGATGAGGAAACTGAGTTTCTGAAAGCATAGGTGACTTACCTCTAGCTTTCATACATAGTTCATATCAGAAACTCTATTCCAATCCAGAACTCTGCAGACTCCAAATCCAGCATTTGGTCTATTACATTTGTGTTGTTTTCTCTGATGGAATATAAACGGAGGCTAAGGGCTATTCTATTATAGTTTGTCTTTGTATTCCATGCCTAACACAGTGGCTGGAACAAAGAAGGGGGTTTAATTAAGGTTCATGAAGTGACTGACTGTCCATATCCTTCCATAAATCCTTCCCCAAACCTCCACTGAGTATGCCTGGGACCTTCCTCTAGTTTTCTTAACCTTTCTTAGATATCAATGGAGAACATGCAGGCAGATCTCGGACTCCTGACACATCAATCAATGACAAGTTACCCATGGGCTTTTCTAGTAATGTACATCTCTGATGACATCCTTTTCTTTCATGGGCTTGATTGGAGTAAGTTGCAACCTATTCATATCCACCATGTTTTTCCCTCCATTGCTCTTTGTGTGAACCTCAACTACCTACTGGTCATCTTGAACTGGACATCTCATAGATATCTTAAACTAAACATGCTTAAAACTGAACTCATTCTCTTTTCCCCCAAGACTCTCCTCTTCCTAATTCCTTGTTATAGTTAAGGGTACCACCATCCTCCCGTCAGGCTTACAACCTAGGGGTCATTCCACTCCTCACTCTCACTCCCATATCCAATCTGTTGCCAAGTCCTGTTGATCCTACCTTCATGACATCTCTTATGTATGCCACTTCTCTCTGCCACCATCCTGGTGTGGGCCCCTATCCCCTCACACTTAAGTCTATTGCCATAGTCTTATGGTTCGCTTCTCTGCCTCAAATCTTGTCTCTCCCCACTCCAGTCTATCCTCCAATCAGCTGCCAAAATTATTCTTCCTAAAGGGTAGATCTGACCCGTTATCGCCTATTCCCCATTCAATAAATGACAGTGGCTTCCTATCGCCTCCAGAATCAAATATAACTTTCTGTTTGTCTTTTAAAGCCCTTCATAACCTGCTTCCTTCCTACCTTTCCACTCATACTTTACTCCCTCCCTGTACTCTGGGGTCCAAGGACACTGGTCTTCTTGCTGTTTATCCAGGCATTTTCACTGGCTATCTTCTATGCCTCAATCTCTCTCCCTTCTCATCTCCACCTCCTGCCTTCCTTGGCTTCCTTCAAGCTTCAGCTACAGTACCACCTTCTGTAAAAAAGTTTTTCACAGGCCTAACTCTTAACGCCTTCCCTCTGAGATTCTCTATATTTTATCCTGTCTAAATCTCATTTGTACATAGCTGTGTGCGTGTTGTTTCCCCCATTAGACTGTGAGTCCCTTGAGAACAGGGACTTTCTTGCCTTTCTTCATATCTCAGGTTCTTGGCACAGTGCCTAGCATACAGCAGTTAGTTGCTTAGGAAACTAGAAGGTATAGGGAGGGACAGGAAACTTCAGAGATTGCTGAGAGACAGAAAACGTGAGACGACCATTTCATTTATTCTTCAGTATTGTCATATCAGATCTTCTGACGGCCCTGGGGCAAAAGTCTAGTATCTGTTATACTTTGCCACTTAATCTATGAAGATTATTTTGTTCATATTCATGGTGTGAATCTCCAGACCACTTGGTAACCAGTGTTTGTTGACTTGACTATGGTATTCCATTACTGGCAGCCATATACCACTAGAACAATACCGTTGTTTAAAAGAAGAAAAAAAAAAGGCATGCTTTTACCTTAGGAAGAAGCTTGAGGTCACTGAGCAATTTTCCAAAGGAAAGTCTTCTCTCCTCCTATTGATGGCAGTTGCTTAATGGACTAATTCAAGTCACACATGGTAGAAAAACAATTCAAACCTTTTTCATCATCATTGCTAGTTTTGGTTTAGGAAAAAGTAACCTGAAATATGATACACCATTTCTCAATACAAACTGAAAGGTATGTGGCATATACACATCAGATAGAAAGAATAAAAACTTCTAAACAGCTACAATTCTAGCTGGGGAAACAAAGCATACAAAGCTTCTTGGTAAATAGACCATATATTTGAGAAAACCACCTTTATCATTTAAATGAAAAATGCCCTTCTCAAGACCCATTCTGATGCATCCAAAAACTCTTTCCAACCAGAATTTTTTTTAAAGAAGGAGGCATTTCCAAGATATGTTTAGTTAAGCAGAAATGTTCCTTTTGATCTGGTTTGCAGCTGTTTTAAAAAATCTATGAGGTCTTTCTAAAAGGAAGTATCATTCTGTAAAATTCAGCAATGGTGATATATCACTACAAGCTCAAGGCTAAGAAGAATTTTCCAAATTCTAACTTCTCCTTCCCTGACTTAGGAATCTTTTCTTGCCATTTCTTGCCCTTACTCTTCTTGTCTTCATACCTTCTTGTCAATAGTGACAGTGAAATATGTTATATTTTAATGGAGCAGCTAGGTGGAACAGTGGGTAGAATGCCAGGCCTGGAGTCAGGAAGACCTGAGTTCAAATTCAGCCTCAGACTTGTACTACCTGTGTGACTCTGAACAAGTTACTGTTTGCTTCATGTGTTTCTATATATTTAAAATATTAATTCCAGACCTGATCAGAGTGAAGCCACTGTCTTAGTGGTTGGAGATAGGAAGGAACAGACTGGGTGTCTGCAGGCTGAGCACCTCAGAGATGTTGTGAGGATCAAAAGAGATATTAGTAAAGTGCTTACCAAACTGCCTGGTACACTGTAAGAGCTAGCTATTGTTATTATTATAACATATATAATATACTGACATAATATATCATAAAATAACATAGATATATAAATATAAAATATAATGATATTATAAATGCTAGCTATTGTTATTAGCTTAATTTTATTCCTATAACTTCTTTATATTGCAATTGCAACTCTGCTACATATTTACGCAAACTCTTCAGTTGGAGGAGATGATGGTGAGGTAAGAGACAAGGATAATAACAATAGTAAGAAAGGCACAGTTGATGGAAATTTGGTGGGCAAAACAGTTTTTTAATTAGACATCTGTAAAAGTAAGTTAATTTTCTGAAACACCGATTTTATTTATTTTTCAGTTGTCAAAGAGTTCAAATTTAGAACACTCAATGGGCAAGGGAGTCAAACACCTAGGGGAAGAAGAAAGGATTCAAAAGATATCATCAGGAAAAGGTGTAAGTAAAAAAAAGAAGATGAGCTGATTATGTGATAAGATCAAAGTCACAAGACAATAACCAAAGGGAAACCTGGTGTCCCATTTATCTCCTTGCAAAGTCCAAGGAAAGAGAAGAAGGCCCTTGGAAGGTTGGATTGGTTCCCCGGGGCAAACCGAAGCGAGGCAAGGGATAGGAGTCACGCAGGATGAGTTTTGGTCTGTTGTTGAAGGGAGTACCTGCATTGATGAAATCCATTAGGGTATTCATCCTAAGGAGTAATAAGTATATTCTGACCAGCCTCCTCTCCCTCATTTTCATTATATAAATAAACCATATGAATGATCTGAATAGCATTCATTTCATTACTTAAATGTAAGCTGTAATATACACATGACCTAACACTACTTTGTGCTGAAATAATTAATGAACAAACATAGTAAAAACAGTAAAAAGAATGCTCTGCTTTTCTGTGGGCAGAAAAGCTAAAGGGTAGATTCGATTTAAATTTACAATGCAATACCAAAATTATCAAGTTGTGAATCACTGAGTAATAAAATGTTTCCCTTTCATCCGATTAATTATAGGTTCATTAGTGGGAATTTTTTTTATTATATTACGAGAAAATAAAGATCACCAGAGATTATATATTCCATTAAAAAAAATTGTTTTAATTATGAACTTAAGAATCATGAACAAGTAAACCAATAGGGCATTCCTCTCACTTTAGAGGATTTTGAATCCTGGCTCTTTCATTTACTACTTGTGTGACTTTGAGCTAGTCATAACCTCCCTGGGCAAATAGTTACTTCATCTATAAAAAGAGAGGGTTGGTCTCTATTGTTTCTAAGGCCTCTTCCATCTTTAAATATATTATTCTTTTAACTGCAGCACCACATATTTCAAACAAAATTTACGTATTTCAAACCCTTCAATTTATAGATGAAGAAATTTCAGGACTCATCCTCGGTTTCATAGTGGATAGTGGCAAAACCAGATTATTTCAACTCTGATTGAAGTCATCACCTTCAAAGCCACTTAGTTATACTCTTTGTATATTCCACTCATCCTTGTCTTAACCAGTAATGAATGTTTGCTGTATATTCTCAAATGAGGTCTCTCTGCCTACTGTCATGATTTTTCCTCACTACCTTGGAAATCAGTCATAATGTTATCCCTTAATTGTCAGAAAATAAACTATCCAACAATTAGAGCTATTTAAAAGTAGGATGGGTTGTCCCAAAGATTGTGAATTCTTTATCACTTCAGGTCTTCAAGAGAACATCATATGATCATTTGTAAGGGATTCCTATTCAGATATGAATTGTACTAGACTACCAACGAGATTCTTTCCAACTCTGAGATTCTGTGATTCTTCCTTTGATATTTCATATTTGTAATTCATGGGGCCCCTTTACTACTACTGTTGGGTAATATATCTCAAGTGCTGTTTTCCTGAGTCCTAGAAAAAGGCAGCATGGCATTATATTCATTATCTATTGAGGGAGTATGCTATCTGAGTTGCTTGGGTGCTCATCTGCCAACTGAGTGAATACCTACTTAACACACAAACCTCAAGGTCAACATATGGTATAGGCTTCCTTGAAAGGCTGCATCATCTCCACTAGCCACCCGAGGTGCTCAGTCTGCCTCCAACCACTGAGACAGTGGCTTCATTCTGATCAGGACTGGAATTAATATAGAGGGTAAAATGGAATATTACTCAAAATGTTAAAATATCATACCTATTTTCTGTACATAGCTCTAGATCCCAAAAGTCTGTGTTCTCTCTTGGGTCACAACTCTTTCCAACACACACAGGACTCAGATACTTATTCTCTAATCACATAGTTCATTGAACACAGTGGGAAAAAAAGATGAAAAAGAAATGAAAAGGTCAGACATCTTTATGTGGAACCATCCATATCCAGCCATTTCAAAAGCCTTCTCCTAACTGTTCTCCCAGAATCTTAGGGGAATTGAGTAGGAATTTCCAAATCACTGGCACCTAGAGCTCATGGAAAGAGTGTGTAAGTCTCCAGAATCCTGTCTCTGGATCAGGTAACATAAGAGATAACATGAGAAAATAGGAGAAGAACAAAGAGAGAATCACCATAGTATCACATATTTACAGTGAGAAGCAACCTCATAGGCCATGTAATCCAACCTTTCATTTTACAGATAACAAATTGAGGCCAACAGAGATTAAGTTACTTGCCCAAGGTCACACAGGTAATAAGGGGCAGAGATGGGATTTGAACTCTGGTCCTCTTACTCCAAATCCAGTACATTTTGCACTCTATCATCCTACCTCAAATCAGTTTCCCTTTCCTTGCTCACCAGCCCATTATGATATATGGTAGCTGGTAGTCTTCATATTCAGGTTCCTCTCTTGTCATAGGCCTGCCCCAGATCAGAAACTCTCCTGTTGAATTGGTCTTTGGCAGGCTCATTCACCAGCCAATTGAGTCTCATTAGGTGCCCCCTTCAGCAGCAGTAGTCGCTATGGACGTAATTTCTAACAGAAATGCAGCAGAACCAGTCCAACAAAAGCCATTCCCTAGGTGTGAAGGAAGCTTAACTTTCAAGAACTGGAGAAGAAAGAGGTGGCCAACCCTGAACGCAACAGCATTCTAAGTATGACACTCTTCAGCAACAAAGTGAGTGAGTTTAGGGTAGAAAAGCTTCCTTTCCTCTCACCATCCTGGAGAAAATGAGGGCAGTTTCATTTCCCCATGTCTCATAATTCATCTTTCATTGGCATCCCTCTTTGGAAACTTCCAAGGGCTTTGGGTCCCCAAAGAGATGAAAAGGCTAGGCAGAAGCACCAGCTATAAGGATAAGGGTATTTTTCACATGTGTTTCAAGGCTGTGATTCAGTTTTTACATACATAAAAAGGAAAATTATAATCATAGAACTATGCCTCTCAAAGAAAATATACAAGTGAACTGTTAACTTCTATAGCTGGTGGGAGGGAAGGAGAGGAGAAGGTAGACAATGTATTATTTCCGTCTTTGTAATGGTATTATTAATGTGCTATTTCTGGCCTTGAATTTTCCTCAGAATATTATGCATTGGACATTTCTTCCATGATGTTTCACGACATGTGCTTCTCCACTCAATGGCATAAGTTGAAATAATAGACTTCAAAGCAAAACTTGCAAAGGTCTCACACTGTGCTTTCTTCTTGCCTGCTGCCCCCTTGAAATGAAGCATGGCATTGCTGGAAAAGAAGTGTCCTGGGAGATAGAAGACTTGGGTTCTAGTCAGCACTGGGCTGATAAATGCTTAATAACTAGTTTTCCAGGGGAAAAACAAATGTATGCGTGACACACTTTAAAGTTTAACCAGCATTGTTAACATTTTTCTCTATCACTCTCTTAAGTCGACACAGTTACCAAAACAATAAATTAAGATTTGTAGCATTTGACAATTTCTAGGGTGTAAATATGCTGAAAATTTAACAATTGGCTCTAGCAACCCCTTTCAACCTTAATCCAGCACACCACTAGTCCTAGTTCTGCTGTTGTTGTTTTTGTCGTTTGTCCTTCATTCTCAAGGAGCACCATGACATCAGGAAGATGTTGCCATGACTTGCAAGTGAATTGGATTTAAGTAAGGGAGGGCTGTGTGAAGTCAGTCTCACTTTCTGCTCCAGAGCCATCTGGGTCCAGTGGCAAGACATAAATCAAGACTGGAAATGCCACCCCACCTTACCCCCAGATCTGTTAGTGAAATAAGGAACAACATGCCCA